CCTCCTCCTCCTCCTCCTCCTCTGATCAACCTCTTAAGCTTCTCAAGAAAAGTAAAAAAAAAAAAATCGAGATCGGGCAAGTCCTGTTCAGTTTTGTTAAGTTCTCCTATAAAAAGTCGACATTGAATTTCTCAAGGCCCTCTAAAACTCTTGGCAGTTCGGTGGACCCTCTGGGATTTTTGAAGCCATTTGTGGGTATTTTCCCCCCAAAAATAAAAATGCTGGTTAAGCTTGGTTTGACCGTAAAAGGGCTGCCTCGTTGGGTGTGGTTGGTACAAAGTGCCCGTTTCCAAAAGTCAAAACTAACGAGGTTGTTCGTTACATCTCTTCCTATCTCAACCTCTGTATCTCCCCAAATTATCTTTGCCTTTTTTTGGAGAACTAGTGATCATACTTACAAAAATGAATGAATGAATGAATAGTGAATAGCAACTAATTGCTATTAATGGCAGTGATCAACAGTTATAATTGTAATTCAGAATGGAAGAGAGTTTAGATGTTCTTTCGTCAATTAGCAAAGCCGTTAGCCATGTTTCTGAAATTGTAAGCTTCTTCCAATGACCTCTTTAGAATAACACTGATCAGCTTGCATTTCCCCCCCCCACACACACACACCCCTAAACCTGCCGTTTTCCTTCTGTATTCCGTCTTTTAAGTTGAAGTTTTCTGCTTTTTCATTGGGAAAACTGACTCGGTTGAAGAGAGAATGAGCTGGAATCACTCCGGGGACAGAATCAAGAGTTGGTCCTTGCGATCGAAATGCTGAGAAGTGAAAAAAAGAAAAAAGAAGACGAGTTCGAAGCCTCTCTCCTCCAACTGAAAGAGCAGCAAGCCACAGGCCAACGGTAGGATAAAACAGAAAGATCCATCCAATCAAATTAAGAGTTCAACGTTACAGTTGCTCAGTGTAAGCATCCTCTTGACATCCCTCGGAAGGTGAGGGGAAAAAAAATCCTTTGCTTCTTAATATCCAGTGTGCATCTTAAGGTCATTAACTTGACGGGAACGCCAGCAAATACACTCCAGCCAAACTAATGGACGGATCGCTCAGAGTTGTTGTTTTTTTTCAACCTCAACAGCTTTTAAGATGTGCGCTACAATTTCCTGAATCCCACTGGGCAGATTCATGGGGAATTCTGGGAGTTGAAGTCCACACCTCTTAAAAAGTTGCTCAAGTTGAGAAACGCTGAGTATATAATGCTGGACAAGGATTTTTTTAAAAAAATAAATAAATAAATGACTGTACAGTTTGTAGTTGTGGTGGAATGTAGT